ATTTTCATAGACAATTACCAGATGTACCAAACGAATGCCATTTTTTTAAGCAACGTCTTAAGTGACCAATCGAGGACAACCAAGAGAATCAAAAATAAAATGTCAGTGCACTTAAATCTAACACAGGTAGAAAAAATAATTGTAAAAAAATTAATATTCATGACTTTCCTATTCCGATATGACCTAATAGTGCGGTTGCTTCACGCAACAGTGAGCAGACAGAAACCTATATTCATTTAAGCTTCTGTGGAAATTCAATCAAATATGAGAATCTACAGACTGTTTTATATATGGACTTTTTTGCAGGAAGACTAACGTTTGTGGGGAAAAAAAATATGTACAATTGTAAAATAAGGTCGAGATCAGCTCTGACAAACAAAGCTCAGAAAAGAAATAAAAGGGAAGAAAATAGATGCTATGGATCTTAAATTTAAATGCGGTGTTCACCTTTTAAAATATGGACGATCGACAGATTGCACATCCAGCGTGAAATTCACAATAGTATTATCATAACAATAGATTTCGGTGGCGAGGATGGACGGCCGGAGAGGAAACAAAACCCTGCTTGGCTAAAGGTCTTCTGTGATTCTGTGACAGCAATGGATACAATAATTTAGCTTTAGCCTAAATATATATATTTTTGACTTTTTCCAGAGAATTTTTCTTTCCAGTAACATCAAGCCAGTGTGCCAAACTCGAGTCCACTGCTTCGACTAACCTGATCCATCCAAAAAAAAAGAAAAGGATGAAAAACCTTATTTCTCAGCCTATATCCAACCATATAATAGTTTTTTTTTTCTTTTTTGACCTAAGTATACATTTTAGATCTCTTCAATGCCTTCAGTTTTTCACAGTTTTTAACTTTTACGAGCCAAATGATCGCAAACAGATTTAGTAAAATAGTGTAATTTAGGCGCATGGCATTATGCATACGTTTGAGCGTCTAACCTGTGCTTTATCAGGCACAAAATGTCAACAAGATATCTCTAAAACAATCCTCGAGGGCCTTTTGGTGTGTTTGTACCAGTCTTCACAGTGAAGCACAGTGACAGCGTCGCGTTTTGCAGCAGGTTTTCCATTTTTGCACATTCGTAAAAACGTCTGGATTAAATGGTTTTTGTTGATGTGGATTTTAGTTCGCCGTTTTTATACTTTACAGCATTCCGACGTGTGTTTTGGTATAATTACATATTTAAAAAAAAATCTGCAAAACTGTTTCCTTTCTAGATATCTTAAATGGGTGGATTTGTTTCTTAGAATCCATCTAAATGGATACGCCTATTGGAATTTCCAGCAGCGATACACTAGTATAGAATAAAATGTAATGTTTCGGCTGTAATCTCATACTTTTAAAAAATATTTTCCTCTCCTCGTCTTCTCCTTGCGTCCCCGGCAGCCTCTCCCCCCTCCCTCCGTCCTTCCTCCCTCTCGCTTCTCTCTCGCGGAATCCTATTGATCCAAACGGGCTAATTAGCGGTGTCTGCGCAATTACGCACATGCGCACTGGGCGTAATCTCAGCCATTTTTTGAAGGAAACTAATTAGCAGGAATAAAGAGCCAAGTGTTTTTCCTCCCACAGTGATCAGAACTCATTCTACCTCTGGAGCTCGCACAAACCCCTCCGTCCCCCCATCTTCTGTTTACTACAGCCTATATGTAGCTTTAATTACACTGTTGTTTGGTAACAACTTGGACCCCGCTGCTCTCTCTCCCTCTCCCCATTTTTTTCTCCTCCTGGCTCCGTAAAAACGCAGAGGATCATTCATAAGGAATGAGTGGACTCTCTGCGCGATTGTTTTCTGGACTACTACACATTCAGCGTGCGGAGCTTTGTACCAGAGTCGCTGCAGAAATGTAAGTGTGTCATTTGTTTACGATGTTAAAGGGAGCTGGAGGGACGCGACTCGGCGGTGGGGAGGAGGGGATGTTTGGTCAGTGTAGCCTCTAATTCTCACAAATCGAGCTTTTGTGCGTTAGGTCACCTGTTACTGGTTACTGATCACTCTCGGTTTTTGATGAATCGGGCTAGGATACACTGTAAACAAAGGCTGAAGTAGTGTGGGAGCTGATGGTTGGTCAGTGGCTTGACAACACAGAGACGGGGAGTGAACTATTCAAGCCACTGCCCCTCCGGTATTCTCCCAACAGCCCGGCTACTGTGGTCCCAGATTAATGCTAAAATACCAGTGCTTTTACCTTGAGACTGCGAGGAGGTCGTTGGCTTATGGTCCACCGAGTCTTCACGTATAAAAATCAGTATTTGTCCATATCCAACTGTGTTTATCCAGGTCCCACACGGGCAGACAAAAGGCATTTTCCTAAAGTATTGCTTCACAACTCTTCTCTCTGCCTGTTTCTCTCTCCTTCTCACACCCCTGCTCTCTCTTCTCCCTTGTAACACACACAAGCACACACTCGTGCACACACCCACACCCACACACCAGTCTAGGGAATCCGGGAATACACTTTTCGTTGTATATTTGCACATGATTTTTATGTTGCAACTTCTGTTGTATCTAACAGATAATAACAAATGCGCCACTGGTATCTCAATATTAATAAACAACTACAGCAATAGGCCTGTGCATGTTGGATTTCAGGTGTTACATGTGTGCTTAATTGACATCACCACAATTAGCAGCACAAAAAGAGGTACAGGCATATTAACAGACAGAGATGCACACACATGTGCACAGACAGACAGACAGACACACACACACACACTGTTAAATGATGGCTTCCCGCACTTGATCGATGAAGAGCCAGGAATGCTTGTATAAATAGTTACATTGCCGATAGACCCAGGTTATTGATTGCAGTGTAAATGAAAATCTTTATCAGATTAGAGACTGTTCTCAGCTGCTGGCAGGCCTGCTTGGTCCCTCAGCATTCTCTGGCAGGACAGTGGACAGCAGCAGTGGGCAAGGGTCTGTGGCCTGTGACATAAACACAGTACATTAAAGCACTATCAGGGTGCCGATATGAGCCATATATCTTAAAGCTGCAGAGAGGGGGAGGGGGTGGCTACAGGAATGAGAGAGAGAAAAGGGGTGTTTAAGGAGGAGGAAGAGGGGGTTGGTTGGTTGAAGGAGAAGGTGAAAGGGTAGATTAAGGTCTCTCCTTGATTAAAAAAGGTCAGTAATGAGATTGTGGGACACACACAGGCTAACAGAGATGTATCTGTCTTAGATGGCATTCATCTGTCATTCAGAAACTGACGAGGGGAGAGAACCCATCCATTTTTAAGGAAGTATCTATAGTAATACGTTTTTATATAAAGTGAATTAGATTCATTGTGAAATTTTATTGCTCTTTTTTATTTTATTAATTTATCTTAAAGTATGATAGAACGTTATAGGCCAGTACTAGCTTTATTTCAAAGTAATAATTACAAAAGTAAAGTCTTAAATATGTAGATTTAATAAGCTGTAATAAACTGTTTGAAGTATTCATCTTTCAAACATGCCTCTACTGTAGATTACAAATGAATAATAAAGCTTCAGTTTAATAAAAGCAGGGATTTATTATTTATTACCCTCTAGTATTTATGTGCCTGGGTATTTCTGTAGCAACAGAGCTTACAGGGGGTGGAAGCAATATAACAGACCCAGACTGTGAATAAGTCAAAATAAAATCCACGGCAATGCAACACCACAAGTAAAAACTGCTTCGAAAGTGACCACAGATTAGAATTTTTTTTTTCTTCACAAATTAGAATTAATACGCATCTAAAATCAGAAAAAAGAAAGAGATTCAAGTACATATTTAGCTGTGTTCACTTCTTGTTTTTGTGCTTAATGTGCAAAGTGTGTTCTCAGTGTAAAATTCGCTTGTGTGCTAGACGATGATCCCGTATCCTCATATTATTTGTGTCCTAGTGTGTGCAGCAGAAGATACAGAGACTGATACACAGGCTTTTAAATGTGTTCTTTTATCTGCTTTTATCTAAGTGTGGCAATTTAGACGAAGCCCTTTAGCTCAGAAGCATTCAGTTCTTTATTTAATCCTATCCCCTGAGGAATATTATAGACCTCCTGCGTAGCCTTTACCCGCATTCCTCTACCTAGTTTAGCGCTTGTGCTATTGATTTTCCCATTAAGGGCTAACGCTAACCCCTGGGTAACCAGCCTCTGGATTGCGCACTGTGAAGGCTCTATCGAACAGATGCTATCCAGGGACCCTAATCAATGCGTCCACTGTTATGCAATAATATTTACATGACATATGTTGTTCATTTTCTCCTCTCTTTTTTTTTATTTCACTCTTCTGTCTCTGCCTGTCCCGCTCTCTTCTTCTCTTCATCTGTAACTGAAACACACAGGTGGGGTAATGATGTGTGGCAGCTGTAGCCTCTGGTATGGACAGCGGTGAGGGAGGAGGAGGGGATGGAGGGGGAGGAGAGGAGAGAGATGCTGACCTCAGTCCCCAGGCTTTATCTCTTCCTCTCCTGACCCTGGCAGTCATTCCTGAGCAGGGGTCATCCTCTCATACCTCAGCCATGGCCCCTACCAAAGAGCCCCTGACCCTGCCTCAGCAGGAGGAGGAGGGCACAGAGCGGTCCCAGGCTAGAGAAGAGACCCAGGGAGGAGAGCAGAAAGAAGGAGGGCGACATTCACGGGAAAATGGAGTGCGTCAAAGGCAGGGGATGAAGGAAGACTTCGGGGAGGGATATTTGTCAGGGCAAAACAAGGAAGAAGGGGAGGTGCTTGTAGGTATAGGAGAGGCATCAGTTACAGGGGGCCTCCCAGCAGCCCTCAACAGAAGAGGCAGAAAGGAGGAGAAGGAAGAGGAGGAGGCCATCTCAAACCAAAGCCAAACCAAATCCAAATGTTCTTTATTACCTCAACAGAGCCAGCACAGCTCTTCTTCCAGCACTGCAAAGGCCAGTGGCACACTCGACAGCAAAATAGCCGCCTCTCCAAAGCCCTCTCCCACTCCTTCCCCCTCTCCAAAGCCCTCCCCCTTTTTTCCCATTTCTCCAAAGCACTTCAGTTGTCCGTCCTCCTCTTCTGCCGTGCTGAGCGAGACAGAGGTAAAAGACATTAAGGGAAATCAGGGCTGGATTTCTGGGTTTCCTCAGAGCTTTAGATCCCAGCAGTCTTCTCTGGCTTTTCCACTGGCAGGTACAGAGCCTGCCAGTACACCTGCTGAGGATGATGGTCTGGCAGGGGTTCCTCATTCTTCCATTTCCAATGGAGATGGTGCCAAAGCTCCAGAACCAAATGACAGCCAGCTAGACACCGAGGTGGATGATGAGAGAGACAAAGAAAGAGAACAGAAAGAAGCTGTCCTTAAAAACCACAACCAAGACCTCTCTCCTACTTCACTGACTGGTCACATGACTATAATGCACTCACGTAATTCCTGCAAAACCCTGAAATGCCCCAAATGTAACTGGCACTACAAGTCTCAGCATACGCTGCAAGTCCACATGAAGGAAAAACATCCAGAGACGGGAGGCCAGTGTGTGTGTGGCACATCTGAGGGAAAGTGTGTGTGTGGTGGTTCAACACGAGGTGTGTGTGTATACTGCAGGTCGGGGAAACCCCATCCGCGTTTAGCCCGGGGTGAAACCTACGCCTGCGGCTACAAACCCTACCGCTGTGAGGTGTGTGACTATGCTACCTCATCGAAAGGCAACCTCAGCATACACATGCAGTCAGACAAACACCTTAATAATGTTCAAAGTGGGGGAAACTTGAACGGCCACATGCACACTTCTCATATTACTAACAGCAGCAGCTCCTCCAATGGTCACGAAGTGGATGAGCAGCCATACAGCAAGCTGACACTCTCTATCCCCGCACCTACTACCCAGCCTGCCAAGCTCACTCCACCTGCACACTCCCACTCTCATGGTAAGCGGTGGCGATGCGACGTGTGCGACTATGAGACCAGCATTGCCCGCAACCTGCGCATACACACCACCAGCGAGAAACACACACATAACATGCTACGGCTCCAGAGAGGTTACTATCTGTCTCACTGCAGGAGCCTTGCCCCACAGCTTAAACACCTGCAAAACACAGGTGAGTGATGTGTCACAACTGTCACTGTTATCCAGCATTGAAGTTTCAAAATGTGTAAATTGTAATTTGCGCTTTCTCTCTGCCGCAGGTGCCGAGCTTTCACTGAACATGCGGCTGACCAGTCAACAAGTCGCAGAACAGCCAGTTACCCTTGGGTCTACACTGACTCCATCTCCCTCCCCTTCCCCGTCTCCCCCTCCAGCTCCATCTCTGTCCCCCACTGGACCCCTTTCCCAGGGTGTCTTCCAATGCCTTGTCTGCTCCTGCTTTTCGTCCGACAGCTTAGAGTCTGTGGAGCAGCACCTGAATGCTCCCCGTTCCTTGCCCCAGTCTGAGTGGTGCTCCCTAGTTGCCGGTGGTTGCCACTGCAGGCTGTGTGGTTACACCACCCCGCTGAGGGCTAACTTCTCCTTACACTGTCAGACCGACAGACACCGCACCCGCTACCAGCTTGCTGCTCACCTCCAGGAGGGGGGAGACAGGGGTCAGGAGGGGGCTGCCCTCATTGCTAAGGGCAACCCCATCCAGCTGAGGTGCAACCTGTGTGACTACGTGACCAGCAGCTTGGAGAAGCTCAGAGGGCATTCCCTCAGTTCACACCACGAGGCGAGCGTCCGGGTTTACAGAGTAAGTACACAAAACCACACCTTGTCATACTCCAAAACAAAAACCCTTGTGTCTTAGGAATGGCAAGCTACACTTTAAGTATGAAGTGTAATGTTATTAAAAAAGATTGAGGAACCTTTGCGAGCTCATAATATTTTTTTCTTTTGTCTCCTTTTCACTATGTTATTAGTTCCTGCAGCAGTATGATGGTGAAGTCGATGGAGGTTCGTGGCTGTTCCATTGTCTTCTATGCAACCACTCCTCCTCTTCTAAACTCCAAGTACTGAAACACAGTCAAACCCTTACCCATCAACAGCGGGAAGGGCTACTACAGCTGCAGCCAATGGGTGGAGAGGAGCTGGCAGCCATTTTTACCATTAGGAAGAGCCCTGATGGTGTCACGGGTGAGAATATGAACTGTGTGTGGGTGTATTCTAATTCATGTTTCATGTGGTTGCTGACAGCGGAGAGCGGACTCGGGATTAAGATGAAAAGAGCGAGAAAATAAGTAATGGCTTTTGCTGAGATATTGATCAAGCAAAGTGATTAGTCGATACACATCCTTGTTATATCCCCAATCACCCCTGACAACAGCTAACTAGCACCTGCTAATCAATGGACCAATACAAATCCCCAGGACGAGAACTGTGGGAGGCAGAGGCTAGCGCCTACTCTGCAGCCACATGCAAGATAAAACAATAATATGCTGTCTGGAGTGTGCATCTAAAATGACTAGTCCAACACTTTATTTGTAAATTTAATCTATCCGATGATTTGCCTCTGTGTAGATTAAGACTTATTGAGATGAACCGATGTGTTGTAAGTCCATATTACCCTTACTCCACCTCTGAGGAGAATCTAATGTAGAATCAATACTTGATCAATAGTGTATGGAGGCAAGCAAAAAGAATGAAGTGTGCCCCACTGAAATTGCTCTTTTTGAATGATGTTACCTAGCGAATAATATAAACTACAATTAGCTTGATAGTTTGCAGGAACATAAAGTATGAAGCACTGTGTTTGTAGGACATAATTACTTGTCCTGTTGTCTCCCAGGAGAGCTCAGTGAAGACATGGAAACTTCCAGCGAGTCCTGCTCTGGTCCTTTGGACACAACCAAAGACACATGTAACTTGGGGGCAAAGAAGATTTCTGCAGAGACGGGTATTGCTGCTCATATCAGTTCTACAGCACACTAATTGTTAAACATGATGCTAGTATGACAATATATTTTGTTGTAATTATAAATCTGGGTATATCTTCATATTCATTTTTACTTTTAGAAAAAAATAGAGTGGAGGAAGGAGAAAAGAAGGAGTCAGTGCCCTCAGTCAAGCGTCCGTCATCTGGATGCGCGGAAATGGAAAACACCATCTTAACCAAACGCCCTAGAACACACCAGCAAAATGAGAACCAGCAGGTGAGCAGTTGACACACTTTTAAATTATTCAAATATGAATAAGTGAATACAGAATGTACCGCTGGACATAACAAATTAGAAGCCCGCGCATTTCCTTTGCGTGATCTGTGCCACCTTCAGAGTCACACTTCTCTCCCTTCTATATTTTTCCCCCTTCCCTTTCCTCTCTTTCAGACTGTCCAGTGCCCTTTGTGCCAGGTTAAACTCCCATACACCCAACTTCGACAGCACCTCACACATGTGCACAGTGTGGCGCAGGACTGTGTAGACAAGCTCATCAGCGCAGTAAGTGCATGCAACTGTGTATTTGCTGTATTTGCGTTTGTCGGGAAGCAAAAGAAAATGTGAGGGCAAGCGATGGGGGATGGGGCAGAGTGAAATGTAGGGAGACAATTCCATTAAGAAGGCACCAGAGAGAAAGGCAACGCTTTTTTTTTAATGCATGTTTAAGTAGCTCCCCGCTATCATCTTTGATGCAGCCGTGCATTCTGTGTGTATGTGTATGCGCGTCTCTTAGAGTGGAAGAGAGAGGGTTTGACTGAGTGAGTGAGGGAAAAGCCAGTCTTTCTATAATGCATGTTTAAGTAGCCCTCTATTACCAGAAGTGCAGTCAAGCTAAAAAGGGGCCCCCATGCTTTTTACTGTGTCTCTCCAACTAACAATGACCGGTCATCTATCCACATCACCATCCGCCATCTCCTTGGCCTGTATGCTAAGTGGCCTTTGTCTCTTGCTCTCTTCCCTCCACTTCACTGACTGCTTTTCACCCTTTTTCCCCTCTGCTGCCCTCCCTCCCTCCCCCCTCCAGCTACTCCTATCATTCCTATTCTGCAATTTCTGGCGTTGCCCCTCCCTTTCTGTCTCTCCCAAGCTCTCTCTCAATTTCTTATGCGTTACCCCTCCCTCACTCACTGTCTTTCTCCAAAGCAGTTTTTTTTTGTTCATTGCCCCATACTTCCTCCCTCCCTCTCCCAGCTCGCTCTTTTTCATATCCTACACCCCTTAGTCTCCCCCTAGTCCTCCCTCCTTCCTTCCCCTCCTACCCCTCCCTCACTCTCTCTGATAGTAATTGAGGTTCATTAATTCAGACTGAGGTGATGATGGCCATTATGTACCTTGCTTTCCAATTACGCTCTCTAGATTAAGCCTGACCTTCAGTTTTCTCTGCAGTGTGTGTGTGTGTGTGTGTGTGCGCGCGTGCATGTGTGTGTGTGTGTGTGCAGTTGTTCTTCCCTTTTGCTCTTATGAAGCTGTTATGCAGAGAAAACTCTTGTCATGTAAATCTCATCTTTAGCTGTCTGTCCTTTCCTTTGGGTGGCTAGCTGTTCGGGTAGATATAGTATTTGCTCTTATTGCTTGAAGCTGTGGGGACGGAGGTTTTCTATATGAAGAATGATTTTAAATAAATTCATTATTCAGCTCAGTAAAGTTTTATTAAACCCTTGGGGCATGTTGGAGGGCGTCGCATGAACTGAAGGGCAGACCCACATATCTCAACCATGTATACTTATTAAGAAATTGATGTGCCTTGCTGCTTAGACTGCTGTGCAGGCAGGTGCAAGATGTAACGATACACTTTAATGTTTTATGATATCAGTAAGGGGAGTGCAGGCACTCTGTGTTTATACATCTTGAGATTTGCTTGCTATTATCCTCTACAATTAAGCATGTTTTATTCATAATGTAGGATTAGGAAAACATTGGGAATACCCCAGCTTTCTTTTATTCCGAATTGGTGAAACAAACCTTAGCGAGAATAAATTTAACAAAGGAAAAAAAAAAAAAAGCAAGACCAAAACTGACAGCCCGTTACATTTTCTTTCTTCCAGGTCGCAACACCCATGGAACAACCGCAGCCTCAGCTGGAGACAGAACTACAGGCAGATTCTCTCACAGATGATATTCAGAAAAATAAAACCACCAAGAATAGCAATGCAAATAGCTCCCATGCTGCAGATTCCTGCGCTTCAACCAATTCTCAGAAAAACAAAGGTTGGTGTAAAGTGCCAAACTGATACCAGTTTACTAATTAAAGAAGCAACAATAGCACACCATGCTACTTTTATTTGCCCTGCTCACAGCCATTATATCTGTACATTTTATAGGCATTTCAGTGGAGAGCACTGAGGGAGACGTAGCCGCACCCAAAGATGTCACAGCTCTTCTCACCCCACCCCTAGAAGACAACACCACTCACCCTTCCAATGGCAGATTGGCTCCCCAATCCCCGACTCAGATCCCCCCCTCCTCGCCTCCCACCTCACCACCCGGTGACCCCCCTCCCCTTTCTGATCGTCATGGTTACCGGTTCCGTTGCAGCAGGTGCAGCTTGGCGTTCCCCACTCAGGAGAAGCTCCAGCTGCATTGGCAGTACCATGCCATGAGGGCGGCGACAGAGTGCCCCCTCTGTTCTAGACAATGCCGCAGTCAGGAGGCCTTGCAGAGACACATGCAGAACACGCACTCACAGCTGGACAGCACACAGGGACAGAATACGCTATGGCCACCTCATACTGTGCAATACACGGAGAATAACAAGAATTCAACTCAACAAGATTTTAGTTTATCACCCCAAGTTGGTCAAGAAGCAGGAGAGGGAGACGATGAAGACATAGATGAAGGAGCAATAAGCATGGAGGGAAAAGATGAACAAAAAGATGTTAAAAATAAGGAGAAAGGCATGGTTTCTGAAGTGGATGGAGGTGAGGAGGATTTAACTGAGCCAGAGAAAGGGCCACATGAGGAGATCTTATCAGAACTTGGTTCCAGCTCTCTTGTAAAAAAGAGCTCTAACCCCACAATGGACCGTTATCTGGATCCATCCAGGCCCTATAAGTGCACCACATGTTCTGAATCTTTTACTCAGAAAACAATCCTTCTGGTCCATTATAACTCCGTGTCCCATCTCCACCGGGCCAGACGAGCCCTGCAGGAAACTGGCACTAGTGTTGCTGCTCCAGAGGCTCCCCGCGGCCCAGATCCTAGACCATACCGCTGCCGATTGTGTGGAGTGGGCTATAGCCAGAGTTCCACACTGGATATACACCTTCGATCAGTCCTTCATCAGACTAGAGCTCGTGCCGCTCAGAATCCCACATCACAGACGCCTGCATCTACTGTAGCTGTTCCACAGTCTGTCCCCACTACAGCTACTCAGGCCGCTACCACTAGAGAAGAAACACTGAAGAGTTTGCCTTTCACCAAGAGGCCAGATGGCATGAGCTCGTCAAATTCTTCATTAGCTGGTTCTGGCTTAGTAGCTGACGCACAGCCGATTCTGTCCAACCCAACAGAAAGCCCGCAGGCTAAAAAGCGAGTGTCAGATCTTCTAGCTTCAAGAAACCAGCTAATGCTAATACAACAGCAGCAGATAGCCCAGGCACAGGTCCAAGCTCAGTTACAGCAGCACACAGCTTTGCTCCAGTCTCAAGTTATGCAGCACCTTCCCTTAGGGCCAGAGAATCTCCTTAAACAACACTTCTCCCTGACCCCAGACAATTTGCTTTCTCTTCAGCAGCAACTTCTTCTGCCCTTTTACATGTCTGGAGAAATGAAGCTCAACCCAGAGTTCATTGTTAGTAGCCCAGAATGTAGCCACTTGATATCTGCCAGCTCTATCCTGAAAGAGCAGGTTAAGACAGAGGCTAAAAGGGAGACTCAAACAGATGAGAAACAAACCCAGAAACAAAGTTCAAGTTCAGTTAATACCCAACCAAAGGATCTTTCACAGTGTGAAGCAAAGGTTGATTCAGTCTTCAGTGACCCCTCTACTAACCAGACAGAAAAAGAAAACAGCAATTCTAGTTTTGAGGAAGAAAAACGAGAAATGCATGCTCCTGTTGTTAAAAATGAGAGTCGGGAGGAGGAAGCAGTTTCCTCCTCATTTCATCTTCTTGGATTGCAGTGTCCTCCTCCCAGAGTGCCCTATGCTGCTGTGAATGGGGAGCCTCTCAGGGCCCTTCTGCAGAGTTATGGCTATGAGTTAGCACTGCAGTATATACAGAGTAGACACAAGCACCAGCAGCAGACAGCCACTCAAAAAATACCAGATAAGCAAGAGTTTTCTGATATAAACAAGATCGAAGTATGCTCAGAAGAGGCAAGAGATCTATTTTGTAAACTACAGGCTGGAAAGATTGAGGGCTGTGATAAAGGAGTGGAAGGCAATGGAAACATAGAAAGGTTGACAGAAGAGAAAAGTGAGAACAGAGGCAAAGAATCGACTAATAAAGAGAAGAAATGCTGTGAAAGAGGGAAGAAGTGTAGAGACTGTGGCAAGTTCTTTTCAGATGCATTGATTTTAAAAAGCCACCAGGAGTATATTCACAGAATGCTGTTCCCCACTGCTGTCCTGGAGAGGTTTTCCAGAGAATACAGGCTTCAGTATGACCAGATGTACCCACTTACAAAACCTAAATCTGAAGAGGATTCAGCTGTTTGTGCCCAAGTTCCACCTCCAGCTCCAGCTCCTGCTTCAGTTGCATGCTCAGAATCAGAACAAGCACCAGAACCAATGAAGGCTGAAGTTAAAACCCTTGAATCTTCACCAGGTTCAGAACCCATGAATAAAGCAGATTCTACAGCTTCAGACCTAACAGTAACGGCCCCTTCAGCTTCTCCTGCTTCTCCTGGTCAACCTCTAGATTTTTCACAGCGCGAGACACCCATCCAGATCTCAAGCACACCTGCTGCCCCTATTTCCCAGAACACTCCGCCTTTACCTCTTCCCTTACCCAAAATACCTATGCTCCCTCTTTCCTTGCCTCAACTTTCTATACCACCACTACCCCTACCAAAGCTTCCTCTACCACCAATTCCTTTTCCCATGGAGCTACCGCTCCTCCCTCCTGTTGTGATGCAGTCTGTGGCTCTTCAGCCCCAGCCTTGGTTAGACTCGAGTGTAAACCCTGAGCTGGCAAAACTCTACCAGTCTCAGCTTAACCCTGCACTGCTGGGGCAACAACCACAGCTTAGCCCAGCTTTGTTAGCTCAGCAGTCACAGCTGAGCCCAGCTTTGTTAGGTCAGCCTCCACAGCTCAATCCTGCATTGCTTGGCCAACCATCCCAACCCAGCCCTATCCAAGCAGGACAGCAAAGTCAAGTCAGCCCAACAATACCTGAACAGCAGCAGGGGAAGAGAACCCGAACGCGCATCTCTGAAGAACAACTAGCTGTTCTAAAGAAACACTTCAATATTAACAGTCTCCCTAATGATGAAGAGATCAACAAGATGTCTGCTTCGTCCGGTCTGCCTCACAAAGTCATCAAACACTGGTTCCGCAACACCTTATTTAAAGAGCGCCAGCGAGACAAGGATTCTCCTTATAATTTTAATAACCCCCCAACCACAGCCCTGGAGGACTCCAGAGAGGATATAGCACAAAACCAGTCTCTGGCGCTTTCCCCATGTTCACTGTCCCCTGGGTTCCCACACAACGCTTCCCCACAGCCTCAGACAACAGACCTGCTTAGAGGAGAACACCATAGGGGCCGACGCTCTTCACGAACCCGCTTTACAGAGCAGCAGCTGGAAACCTTGCAGGGGGTGTTTGAGGCCACTCCCTACCCCAGAGAGGAAGAATATGACAGGTTGTCTGCTCTGTTATCTCTCCCTAACAGGGTCATCGTTGTGTGGTTCCAAAATGCCAGGCAGAGAGCCCGCAAAACTCAAGACCGAGGCACTGATGATGGATTAGAGGTGAAGAGCCAGCTTGACAACATACACAAGCAGCGAAATGGCTGCTATCAGAATGATGATAATAATCAGGATAATAGCTGTGAGGATGAAGGACAAGGTGACTCTCAGAATGAAAACTCCATGGATCTGACGTATGAGTATTACACCCAACCTGACTCACCTGCCCTTGATTCTTCTACTCACTGCACAGAAAGTGAGCATCCTGTAGCCAAAGGTGAACCGACACCTGCTCAAAAGAAGCAAGAAGATAAAATAAGTTCACCTCGAACTAACATAAACACAGCTCCTGATAATACTGAAAAAAGAAATTCAGATGCAGAAATCCAGCTTAAAGAAACTATTCCAGCCATGAAAACAGGGTTTTCTCTACAAGCCGAGACCAAATTGCCAACAGAAGGTACTCTAGAAAGATCCCAGACTCTTGCTACTTCCTCTTCACAGAAAACAGTACACACTACATCTCATCCAGACCAGGTGAATACACACAACCATCCTTCAGATCAAGCTGTTGAAAAGGCGCCTGAGACATCACCCAGCCTCCCTTCTGCTCTAGAGTCTGAAACAAGTCACACTGATACTGCAGCTTGCCCATCCACTGAAACCCATCAGCAAACCCAGCTCCAAACCCAGGCTCAATTCCAGTGCAATCTTTGTCCAGCATCCTTGCCATCATTCCAGCTGTGGCAGGAACATCAGACCAGACACCTCCTAGCAGCTCAATCCCAGGTGCAACTCCTCCACTCCAGCTTCACAGACCGAACCATGCCTTATATGATGCTTCACCCCAACCATACCTTAATGGCGAGCCAAATGCTTTCCCAGATACACTCAAATCCCACACTTCCCATGATTTCGCACTTAAACAGCATACAAATGAAGAACACACTCTCTGATCACTCTAGTAACACACTTACAAATCCCCTGACAACCATAAAGCAGGGTACAGCGCATATATCAGAGACCGGTTTTGAGGGCCAAAGGGGCAGCAGAGAGGTCGAGGAGGAGCACAGAAGAGATAAACGTCAGAGAACCACCATCACTCCAGAACAACTTGAAGTGTTGTATCAGCGCTATAGCTTGGATTCTAACCCCACCAGAGGAGTCCTCGAAAGCATTGCACGCGATGTTGGTCTCACGAGACGAGTGGTTCAGGTACTGAATAGATGAGAAGACAGAGATGATAATTTTGTAGTGTTGGTTCAGCTGAATTTTAAAGCACATGTCTTCCTTCCTTTCACAGGTTTGGTTTCAGAATACCAGAGCGAGAGAGAGAAAAGGGCAGTTCCGGTCAATGGGGCCAGGATCCAGTTTCACCTTGGGTTTGAATCACTTGCGATGCCCATTCTGCAGGGCTCTCTTCAAGGTGAAAAGTGCTCTAGATGCACACATGAGGTCACGCCACTGGGCAGAGGCTGAAAGAGCAGGCTTCAACTTAACAATGAGCAATGGATCCAGTGGGCAGTCTGGGATGGCTATGTCTGTCATGGACAGACCAGGTCCATCGATATCCTCCAGCCCAATCCCAAACCACGGCCATGTCATCAGCAACCGAGAGTCAAGTATGAAGTTACCCCTAACTACTTTGCCTTCAACCACTCATCTAAACAACCCCGAGGAGGATGATGACTATGAGGAAGATGATGAGGAATACCCGTGTGAGGAGGGTTCCAGTATGGCTGACCAAGGGTCTCTTAGTCCTGAAGGATCTGTGGGTCCAAGCTCAGACTGGGGTGAGACACAAACTTTGCAGCAGCACCACCATCAACAACAGCAGCGTCAAAGGACACAGATGAGCCACTTCCAGTTACTCCAGCTGAAAGACTTTTACAGAAGCCATCGCACACCCAACCGACAAGAGTGTGAGACACTGGGCCAAGAACTGGGTCTGCCTCACCGTGTGGTGCAGGTAAATGTTTTTAAGTATTTAAGATAAAAAAAAGAGGAAAAATCTTTAAAATGATATTTGATGATTGTTGACATTTGTTTTGTTTAAATATTCTTTGTAGGTTTGGTTCCAAAATGCCAGAGCTAAGGAGAAGAGGGCCAGGAGCCTGAGCTCTGACTCTGCTGAGAGGGAGAATGCTGAGCTCTCGGCGGGAACAGGGGAGAGAGACAGAGCTTAGAGAGGCGGACTGTTTCCTTCAACTACGTTCGCACCAAAACCCCTCCTGCAGTTGCCATCTTACTCCAAACAAACACCATGTCCAGTTGCTGCCATCCCTCTAACACGAACGCCCCAAAGAAGCCGAGTTGCAGTGGCCCAAAGACAAACTCTCTCAGCTAAAAGTAGGAGAGAGCACAAACCACGTCCTGTCAACCACAGCTTTCCAGTCTTCATTTTTTCCTTCAACTCTTGCCCAAGTCTGTTCTTTCTAAAAAGAGCTTCTCTCCTTATTCAGTCAGACACCTTACTACAACCAAACTCCACCTTGATAAAAACCAACCAGATGCCACAGAGGCCAAAGAGCATTCTCAAAGTATGTGACCTCACTGCCCAGCTAGACCTGCAGTCTACCTCTCAGTCTGCACGACAGACTCACAGTGGGCCCTCCACCAGACCAGTGCTAGATGACTAGCTGTGTAGCATGTAGTGCCAGTCTGTACGAGGCTGGAACAAAAAAATGTCAAAGAGATTTTAGTGTAAATAGAGAGCTCCAAAAAATAAACTTGAAGAAAAAACGGTTAGAAGTGGAAGAAGAAAAAGAAGAGGAAAAAAAAAACCTGAACTGTATCCTTGAAATACACAGGGATATTAGCATAGAGCTTTTGTAAAGACTGACTCAGATTCCAAAGCTCATAACCAAAATTTTACATGTCTGTGGATTTCGTTTGAACACGTTTGTTTTCAATAACAAACTGCAGAGCTGACGTCTGTACGGTGAAGGGGTGAGATCTGCAGCTGGCATAGGTAAGCCGAGTACCAATAGACTGACCCGGTGCTAGAATGCAGCTTCACCCCCCAAAAGCCAATGATGAGTCTTCTGTTGTACATGTACTCCTTCTATGTTCCTTTAGTGGATAACAGCCCAAATAGCACAGAAAGTAAAGGCCAGTTTGTCCCAAAAGGGACAAACTATTTTTTTATAGCACTCAACCATTAAACTGTATATGAAAACTTTAACCAAACTCGAATTTACGTTGTGTGTGTTTAGTCATAGTTTCTTAATATAAATCTTATGGATTGAGATAAACTGTCTTGCTTCGATATAATAGTGTCATGATTATGAAAAGATTATGACAGCTTTGATATGTTCAGGCGAGGTGACTTACTGCCTTTCCGTTCTATTTGAATATACCAATGGCTTACCAATGTTATGTGATCAATGTAAAGCTTTCTATGCTCAGGTCAACAGCTCAACATGGCTCTGCTTCAAATGTGATCTTAATACTGGACTTTTCTGTTTTTAAAACAGAAGAGACACGGTTTAACCATGGACTAAGTATTAAAGGATATCTTTAAAAAAAAAGAAAGAAAAAAAACATCTCTGTATTTCAAAGATCTGAGCTTTTCACCTCTGAGTAATAGATTGTTACAAAAAAAAAAAAGAACCTTATTGAAACTAAAGTGTTTAATAGCGTGAGGGGTAAATGTACAGTATTTAGCTTTTGTATGGTTGACTCGAGACTTCATTGGATGTTTGAGACATGGCTCTCTTTTCCACTTACAGAAAGAGAGCTACTGCGCAAAGCTGAGAAAAAACTTCGGATGTTATTGATGTTATTTTTGTACACTTAATTTATTTTCCCTCCTTTTCTCCCTCCCCACCTACCCACTTTCCGCTTTTTCTCACTACCTTTCTTCCTCTGTTCATTTGCAACCAGTCCTTATTCTATCTGTAATAATGATAATATAACAATAATAGCTAAACAATAATTAATGCTTTAAGACAAAAATCCAAAGACGTGATAATACTTTAACCATATGACCTACAAAAAAATAAGCGCTACTGTTTACTTGACGATGTATTGCTGTTTTTAAAGAAGGAAGGAGTCCCTGTATCTAAGCTACTGTTTTCTGCCTCTCATAAGCACACTGGAGACTGTAACCAAAACCCCAAACTAGAGCCATGGCAGTCTGTAATATAGCGGTTGAAGAGTTTTACTTCTCTTGAGAAATGTTGCAGTTTATTTTTCTTTTATACCATAGTGTTGAACTTCAGCCCTTAAGGATGTCCAGTTTGCTGCTAATGTACTGTAGTTTCTAACGATACTGTAGAAAGATGCATGCTCTGATCGCTTTACCACTAGGCTTTAATGACTACAAACTGTAATGATACCTGTGATGCTGTTGATAAACTGCTCCTCTTTTATTCTGTTCAGAAACAAATGGATATGTGGGGCTCAATTCCATCAAGTTTTTTTTTACAGTATCATAATAATTACCCTTTCTCAGAAAACAGAAATGGCTTTCGTAATATCAGAATTTTTTTTTTTTTAATTTCTATTTTTTATGTTAAAGCTTCCAGTCTGAGAGAAACCCTCCGGGGACATTTACTTCTCAATGCTTAAGGAGATACTGCAGTTCTTTGAAGGAGTTCAGCCCCAAACCCTCTACTGGTTGATGTCTTTCTGTGTTGCAATGTCTCTTGTCCGTTTGTCCAGCTTAAACAGCTTTGCTAAACTCAGACTGACATCACAGCCGACTTTCCAAAGGATGTGGACTGACTAACTCTGTCATGTTTCGTTCTTAACTAACCAATGTTTACGACAATACCAATGAGCTTTCTTCTGTACAGAAATGTGCATTCCAAATACCACAAAGGCAGTTTTTTTTTTAAAATATACTGATTATTTCAGATTTAATTTCTCTCGTATTCTCTTGATCTTAGTGACTGTAAGATGTACATATTGGAGTACTCTATGGTGAAGAGACTCTGTTATCCTTACTGTAGGTAAAACAGTTCTTTTCATTTTTTTTTTTCTGGATATGTTGTTGCCATAGTGATGACCAAAAAGATACCTGTGATGTGCACCTGTCCTTATGTCCTGCTCCAGTGGTTTAGTGTGTCTCTATACTCTCCCTACCCCAGTTGTGCTGGTGTGTGTTTCTCTTCCTTTCCCTCCCCGTACTCCACTGAGCTAAATAAAGTCTGCTTTGGTGCACGCTCTGGTCTCATCCCTTTGGTGTAGCCGAGAGAAGCCATTTTGTGAATGTTGTGGTATGCGAGGGTGTCTGCTTGTTACACGCGTGTTTCATATTCCAGGTTGTATGTTCGGCGGCGGTGTGTGTCTGGCTTGGGAGGCTTTTGATGTGCAACCGTGTGTGCGTAACACGGCCGAGTGTGGAAGGCGTTTGGTGAATGGAGCCATGACCTCTGGGGTCACTTCATTAATTACATCTGTGACATTCAGCCAGATGAGTTTCCTTTGTGACTAAATGATATGATGAATATTAACGACCTCGGATGAATTACATTGCTGCTCCTGCTGCTGCTGCTGATGATGATAATGTGTTTTACGACTCTGGGAGAGAGGGGAGGAAAATTGCACACTACAGCACATTTAGGACACACAAATTTTCATATGCAACATTTCAAAGACCACAGCTTAGGTTGGTAGAGAAGATTTTATTATTTGCTCATTTCTTATGTAAAACTTCCCAGTGGTTGATGAGACAACTTGCTGGAGAGGGGGGGGAAAAAACTTCAATGAACATGGGAATGTAGTGTTCGATCAGACGCGCGCACAAGTCGAGCACAAACCTGTATCTGCTTCTTGTTCTCTCGCGGCAAGCCCTTCATTTCACTGTTACACAGAAATGCGGCAACGGAAGATGTAACCGTGAAACTCGGGGTTGTTCTGATTGGGTTTGCGGGGAGGAGACAAGCAGATACATGGCGAGAACAATAGGAAGGTAACCACAGAAAAGGGCTTGAGATAGCTTCGTAGCTCATGATAGCCATCTTAGAAAGTCATCCTGATAAAGTGATCCCCCACCATTTCTCCTTCTCCCTGTCCTCCCCCTCTTAATCAAATGAGTACTGTGCAGCTGGTGGGGTTGCGGCAAAAAAGGGGGTTCGAGTGAGTGTATGCGTGTGGAGAGTAGGTGGAGGTGGGGGGGGCTTTGAGGGATAGCGTGAAATTATTGCCTGCTGGTGTATATGTGTCACTGGGGGTAGTAGGGTAGAGTAGGGGGTTGGGCTGGGGCTGGGGAGTAATGTCATTGCCTGCTGGTGTATCTGTAGTGGGGGCTCATTTAGATTTAGATTGGTTATGTGAGGAGAGAGCTGAAAGGCCAGCTCATGTTTATGCATGAATCCCAAAGCATGCTGCTGTGGTGGAGCCCCGAGTTAAAGAGACAGAGCTGAAATATATTCGCACATTCAGACGCACCTCTGTTTCTTAGGATAAGGCTTGAGCTGAAGCGACGCTGCGCTATCAGATTTCAGTCAGTGTGTGCATGTGTGCGCACGCCTGTGCACACAGATTACGCCTCAGTCCAAATTAATATATTGCTTTAAATCCAAAATATTAAAAAGATGTCAGAGGTTGTGTTTTGTTTTGTTTTTTAACTACAATTTTTAACTACAGCCTTTACCACCCTTTTCCTGACTGTGTCGAGACGAGCGCTTTGGAGTCCTCTACAGCTGATGCAGAGGCTACACTGAGTTCATGGGAGCTTCCCACATTACACTCACTCATACCCAGAGAGTAATCAGTAAATGTCTTTGAAGGAGAGTTTGTTCAGCACTTCATCAGGTATAAAGTGGTTTTTATTTGGAAATGTGGTCCCTATCCATCTTTTAAATGACTTTTTAATGGTCGTCACACCATCCTAATCAATCATGTGGCAGAGCTAGCCTGCAAGCGCAAATACACTCTATTTATAATTCCTATATTCTGCAGCAAAAACCCGACTCAGTGTGCCTCTCAGTACTGTAAACAAACAGATACAAAATCAGTAGGTTTGTCTTTCCAATCTTGTGGAGACATTGGAAAAACTTCCTTTAGCAATCTCCAGCATCCTGGTTATGAGGTACCCCGTGTAATTTGTCTTTATATTACATCAATAACTTTTTCAAAGGAAGGATAGAGTAACTTTTTCCCCCCAAGTAGTGCAGTTTATTGTTGTTCTTCTGTGTCTCTTTATTCAGGCCCACACTTCATGAAGGCCCCCCGCCCACCGCCACCACTCCCCCTCCCGCCTCACTGGCGACCACAGTACTTTACATCTATAATGAGATACAAATACGCATCAGCAGGACAGTGTCTATGCCACGCGTCACTCTGTGAATATTACTCACACTTATTAGCTGGATTATGTTAATCTTTACACTTTTTGCTCACAGACAACAGACTCCCCATGATATGGGGGTGGTCACGGCAGCAAGCGTGTGTTGTCCTGTGTGTGTATTTCTGAGTGTGCGGCTGCATGTCTGTTAAAGTGATTGCCATGTTGTCAAACTGATCTGCATGAGAAAGGGTGGTCTAATTACATCACTTATGCAAATGAGAAATGCACACAGACTAGCACATACATACACATCGCAGAGGTCAAAAAGACAGTGCAGGCTGCCCCCTTATTGACTAACACAGGGTGGCATCACCACCTGTCAGAAATAGCCCTGTGCTCACACTGTACACAGAAGTTACAGGCTGTTTCGATGCACACCACTCAGATAAATCAGAAATGGAAGTCGATTGGTCAAGCTCACATTAGACTAAAGCACTCAAAATGTTATTGGAAAATGTCCGACCGCATATCCAGTGATTAGTCTTTTTTTCAGACTGAAACACTGATAGTATCCCTGTTGGAATGATTTATTGAGTCTGACACATTTTAATTAAGCCCAAATTAAATGAATCGGCTGGCGGACTATAAAACATTGCAGTTTAATAACGAGCCCCTACATTTTCCTTTTTTTCCCCCCCTTCCTTCATCCAATCCCATTTTGGCTAGCCGCACCAAATAACCTCTCTCCATTTAATGATATGCAAATGAATTTTCATGAACCCCATGATCCCATGCGATGATTAAACTGAGATGACATTAGCTGCCATGCTGCTGCCACTCTCAGTGTTTCTGTCTCCCTATTTTCTCTCTCCCTATCTCTACCATCTTCTTTTGTATCCACGACAACAGCCAACTGGTGATATTAACAGGGTTCATTGTCAATATTCCCTTTCCTTCACAATTCCTTGAAATTTCCTTTGTGAGAAGTGACATTTTGCATATCCGCTGTTATTTCAGAGAAGTTTTCCCAATGCCAGCAGAGATGGCGAATCAGAGAGCTGGTTTCACTGGTTCTCACGTCTCATGTGGTAGTGAGCCCACTGCAGACATACAAGTTACAACAACTTTACAATTACTGTAGTAACATTACATAGACGATTTTAGTAACCTTCCACATCTCTTCATTTTCCACTTTCAGTGCTCCCCTCCCACCGTTCCGTTTTAGTCTGTATCCAACTCCACCTCTGCTGTCGTTTATTGTACTCCATTTGCATAATGAAGCCCAGGCTTAATTAAGATCCCACTGGAGTCTGGAGCCAAGGATGAAGGAAGGAAGGACGAGGGAGGGGGAGGTAGTGAGGGAGGGGGAGGTAGTGAGGGAGGAATCCGGCGTTCCTTAGCTTATCCGCACATGTCCAAATAGGAGGCACAATTTAGGGGGGGGAGAAGAGCATTGACGAGTGATTAAATCGCTAATTATGATCGGCTGTTAGAATTAGTGTGTGGCTGTTAATTAGCTGCAGATGAGATGCCCAGACAGTTGCCCGCCTCTGATGACTGCAGAACCCTCCCTGACTGGCAATAGAGAAACACAGCTTGACACCCTGGAGATGATGCCAACACATCCCTCCCTTTAAACACACACAGCAGTCTGAGGGGATATCCCTTTAAGAAGATCCCAGGTGTGCAAGTGCAGGAAAGAGGCTCTTCATCATCCTTGTCCACCCACTCCCACTGTTCTTCGTTAAGCACAAAATCCCCCATTTTCCTCCTTCTGCATCCGTTATTCATTTTGCTCATTATTCCTCTCTTTCCAAATAGTCTTTCTGCCCATACTGGAATGGTATGATCCCTCCTCTTAGATATTTGTAATGGGCAGCAGCATCCTTTCAGTGCAGCAGCTGGCACTGAGCAGAGTTGGCATCACGGAAATAGTTTTTCTCCCAAACTCCCACCACGGCTACATTTGTAGTTCTACTTGTAGTTCTTTTGCTACTTTTTTTGCCGTGGCATTTAATACATTTTAGTGTACCTATTGATCGTGCCCGCGAACGCCTCGCAGTTTGTGTTTGGCATGGTGCCATCTCTGTTTCCAGTCTTTCCCTTGAGGGGATGCCACCGCCAAAAACGTTCAAGGCATCCGAAATGTTTTGCTCACCGTACGGAGGTTTCTGTTTACTAATGTGTGCATTATGTTGCTTTGGCAGCGTGCCATCTTTCTCCCTGTGCCCTTGCCGCCCCTGAAAAGATGCCATCACTAAATCGCTGGCAACCGTTGCCCGGGCACCTCTTCTTGGCTTTGTCCAAACAAACAAATGGTGATTAGTAGCAAATCCTCGGAGGTGAGTCCTCGTCTTTGACTATGACAGTTCTCCGCCATTCGCTTCGAATGCTTCGGGCATGCCACATGTACAAACTGGCATGCTGCCCGTTGGATGGCACGCTGCAGCTGGCATAGAAAGGAAGAAAAATTGAATAAGGGTTAAAATAATTCCAACGCTGTTTCCCATTCTGCGACCTATCATGCATTTACAAATTTAAAGTATTGTCCATCTTTCTCCTCAACATCCTATGATTCTGTCGTTTATCGATATCCGAGTCCTCCTCTGCCTGCTGGCATCTCACTTACTTCTATGCTCCGCTATCCTCTGATATTTTCCCATCTTCCCTTTCTCTGCCCAGTCCCTTGTTCGTTACGCCCCATTATGCCTGTGCCAAGGTGCCACCATGGTAGCAGTATGGAGGTCTGTTTCTCTTCCTCTTTCATTCTTATTCTCCTCCTCGCCCCTTTTCCCATGCCCATGCCCGCCCCTGCTCAAGTCCTGACTGGATGGCACTGTGCCAACCTGCCACCGCCATCGCTCTCATTTGTAGCTCATCCCTCCGTTGCCCTTCCCCCTGTCTCTTCATTTCCATCCCTCTCTTTTCC